CCTATAAGGATTGATGGCAAGCCACTTGGTGGAGAATCCAACAAACTCACACCTAGTTGTGAAGGATGCCCAAGGGAAGCTAGGAACTCAGCAGCAGCATTCCCTTCTCGAAGAATATGTTGCAGTATGCATTCCTTAAATTCTGACATCAGGCTCCTAATATCCATCGAGCGGGCTGCAGAAAAATTATCTGGCTCTCTGTTCTCATTAATAAACCAAACTGCCACAAGTGAATCCATCTCAGTCACCACACGGGATTATTCCAAGTGATTTACATAACTTGAGGCCCTCTCGAAGACCCCATAAATCTGCTATGAAAATGGATGCACAGCCAACATGAACTACAAAACCAGAGATTCAATTCCCTAAGAAATCTCTAATTAAGCCCCTTGCACTTGCAGAATTACAGACTAGTAGTAGGTGAATTATTTTAATTAATGCTTTTTTTAAGCAAAATGAATTAATGGGAGTACAAAACTTTAATTAATGTTTGTAGGATTGAATATGAATTATCAGAAAACAATCAAAGGTATTTTTCATGTTGAATCATTCTGCTGTTATTCTACTTTTGGTTAATTTTATCAATAATGTTGTCAATCACGCATTAGTGTTGTGATCACCAAAATGCAACAATTAAAAAAAGAAAAAATTCCTTACCAGAAATTTACTAGATTTTTCTTCATTATTAACTAAGGAGTCAATTTAAAATCTTATATAAATAAAAATATTTGAACAAAATTTGTTATAAATATATCAAAATTTTTTATAATGCTTATAATACCAATTTCTTTACTACTATTAAAAAAAATTACTATAGTATGAGCTATGAAAAAACAAATTAAAAATATTCATAATAAATTAATGAGATATGAAAATTCATTAATAGTAGTTTTTTTAGTACACAAAATTAAAAAAAAAAGAGAGAGAGAGAGAGAGAGAAAAAACATGCATTCACAGGAGCTCGAATATAGAAAAAGCTTACAAAAATTTTAAAGGTTGTGAGAAATTTTATAACTATTAAAACTCTAGAAAATTCAAAGATAAATTCAAGTATAGAAAAAGGTGACATCCTCCTCCTTGCTAAATAATCATCCCATGTTGGTAGTTCTATTTCATCTCTTTTTGCCATTCATTCTTTAATTTCTTCTCTCTCTTCATTTTGTGTATGAGCTCTTGATCTTGCATAATCATAGCTTTCATCCATTGGTGCTTGATTAATTGGGTCATCAAGATCAACTTCCATTGTAGTTCAACTGGCAAAGCAATTAAACTTTGATCTTGAGGGTTAGTGTTTGATAACCAGCGACGACTTACTTCCTTTTCTTCCTTAAAAAATGAACTGATTGGTTTATTGGGTTCGTTGGGTTTTCTAATTTCATCACTTGGTTTTATCCAACCCAACTATATAAATGAGTTTGTGTAGTCACTCAAACCATATTTCTAATCCAGCACTAGTCAACCAATTCAACCAGTTGAGTCAAGTAGGGCCAAGTTTGAAAACAGTGGTAAATGCTATAACCACGCATAGAAGTATATAGGTAATCATCCATGTAGCTATAAATAACCACATACACTTTATGGTCATATTTCTAAAATTTAAAATTTTGTTGGTAACAGAGAACTTATACTGACATTTAAAAAATGGTAAGGAAGGAAAATTCCTAAGTTAGCCATTTTTTGAACTATCCTAAGATAACCTTAGCTAAAGAGTAAAGAACAATGACAACGACAAACTAAGGGACAATTTCGGCCCTTTAATTGCTTACTAAAATAATTATTAGAAGACAAGAAAAGAGGAAGGCCCGTTTCTGTAATTTTAACAATTGAATTTAGTTAGGCCCGTTTCACACTAAAATAACAACAGGGCTGTTTTACACTAAAATTACAATAGGTCCATTTATTTTTCATAGCGGATAAATGCGGCCCATTAATTACATGAAAAAACAGAGGATCACTAGGAGTCTAGGATGTGCCCTTTTTTTTCCCAATCATGAGTTGAGGCAGGGGAATTAGAACCCAGCCCATATCCAAGAAATTGTATCAATGGGCTCAATGGTAGGTTTTTGTTTTTTCTAATCTTGAAAGTAACAGGGAAGTCCAACGGCGCTACGCAGTTATTTTGTGCCTTGTCGTGGATACACTTGGCAACCAAGTAGGATCAGATAGATTTAGGTTGTGTTATTTTGGATTTTGGGTTTATTGAGTTGGTTTCAAAAATTGGTGACGAAAAAAAAATAAAAAATAAAAAACCCACGATTGATTGGCAATAGCCAAAACAGTGAATGAGGTTTTGGAAATTGAGCTGCTGGTGGGCACTAAACCGGGTCTTCAAATGGAAGAGAGAGCGAATCGAACAAATACTAACCTTTTTACACTCATTTTACTATACTTGCAAAATTGGATGAAATTCAAACATTTGATCCAGTTCATTTTCATGGATTTAAAGTATTGATATGAACTTAGATATAATTCAGATCAAAATTATTTAAACTTAAATTTGTTAAGCGAAATTTAAGATCGTTTGACTTCTAAAATAACTCAATTAAAATTTAGTTAATTTTTTAAATTTAAAATTTTAATTAATTATAATTATAATTTTTAAATATAAAATAAAATATTTAAAAATAATTATTATTTATTAAATTATTGAAAATATATTAATTAATTAATATTAAAAATATTTTAAATAAAAGAAAATTATTAAAATTTTTATTTTTATTTAAAAAATTAAATTCATCCTAACTAAATTCAAAACCATATAAATAAGTTATGAATCTATCTCCTCTAACTTAAAATTTATAATAACCTAATTTAAAAAATTTAAAGAAACCTAATTTAAAAAAATTTAAAATCTAAGATAATCTGATCTAAATCCATTTTATTCAAATGCATTTGCCAAGTCAACGTTATATCGTTCGGACAGCATACCAGACGGCGCAGGACCAACCATGTTGACTTGCTGATGCCCACTGTTTACTTAATTTATTATCAAAATTTATTCCTATGCTTTTAAAGATATAATTATTATATTTTATTATTATTAATTTATTTAAAAAATTAAAAATTAACTTAAATTTTATTAATTATTTAATTAAATTATTTTATATGATATTAAAATTAAAAATAAAATGTACTTTTATAATTTTTTTATATAAATTAAAAATAAAAATATAATAAATATATTTTTAATTTATATACTTAAGCCACGTGTTAAAAAATCTCATTTATTATTTACCACTTGATCAGGGCAATGGCGCGTTTTTTAGTTAAAAGATGAATTTCAAATTTAGTCGACGCCAAAGTGGGAATTTCTAGGGCACGCGCAAACGAGTAAGAAGACTTTTTCAAAAGAAAATGTAAAGAAGTTTCCCCTTAGTTTCCTTTTGCTTATCTATTGAGGTTTTATCTGTTAAATTGATCAAAAAAAACTTCTACCAAAGCTCATTTCTTCTTTGATCAAATCCATTTAATTTTTATCTTGTGTGATTCTTCGCAATATTGTTTGCTGCAACCTATTAAAGATGATGAATCCATTAGAAGCACTGACGACGCATCTCCGCGAAGACGCGAAGAATGGTTCACGATCAGCCATTCTCTTCGCCCAGATTGCTCTGTTTACTGCAACAATTTTTTTTTGCAAAACCACGCTATATGCAGAACATGATCGCACCGGATTCAAAACGGCGTTGGCTTACCCAATCATAGCCATTCTGGTGTCTAATTCAAGTCGTTTGAATGGTCTTGGATTCATCCGTAGAACGTGTGGCTACAAGGTAAATTCAATAGTAACTCTCATCTGGTTCATTTTAAGTATTGTTTTAGAGAAATTTTATGAGAAATCCTTGTGTAGTCTGGGTTTTACCTTGAGTATCACTGTTTTGTTTTTAATCCTACTGGTCATAATCCGACCCTCCACCGACCTTGGGTTGTTCGGTTTTTTAATTGGAGTCATTGGATCGGTTGCTCTCGATCTCTTTGGACTCAAATTTCAAATTTGGATAGTTGTGGCCATCTGTTTTCTGCTATTAGTTTTTAGGTTCTGGTTGGATTCACTGCCCCTTGATAGGAGTACCGGAGGAACAAACCAAATTTCCAAGTCACAGATTATTGAGGAGTTAATGGTGGCGAATTTCCACCTCTTTTGGGTTTACCATTTGTTTAGAACCAATTGTCGATCCAAAAAAGAGCCCCCCAAATACATATCTTGCAACCCAAGTTCTGTAATGAAAATGCTAGCGTGTGTGCTCATTTTTAATTTGTGGTTCGGCTATGCCCTTATTCCTCGTGTCTGTTATTTGTTCCGAAGAAACCCTGAATCTGCACCACGGGCGTCCGCTGAATCTGGAGCATCATGGGTGTTCTATCAAGTAGAAGCAGTAAATAGTTATGCTCCTTTTCACAATATGAATATGGATGGTGGTGGTTGGAAGGAAATGCTAGCGTGTGTGCTCTGTTCTTTGTTCCGAAGAAACCCTGAATCTGCAGCACGGTCGTATGATTTACAAGTACTAAATGGTTATGCTCCTTATGATTTCCAAGTAGTAAATAGTTATGCTCTTTATGATTTCGAAGTAGTAAATAGTTATGCTCCTTTTCACAATATGAATATGGATGGTGGTTGGAAGGAAATGCTAGCGTGTGTGCTCATTTTTAATTTGTGGTTCGGGCCTGCGCTTATTCCTCGTGTCTGTTCTTTGTTCCGAAGAAAGCCTGAATCTGCAGCACAGAGTTAGGCTGCAGTATAGAGTTATGCTCCTTTTCACAATATGAATATGGATGGTGGTTGGAAGGAAGATTAGGAAAATCACCCAGCGCACGCATGAGAGAGATGCCATGTTTAACCTTGCCTGTCAAGCTCATGTGTGTCTATATATATATATAGCACTCTAATATCTTTTTTCTCTTCGTTATGGGATTTTATGCACCACTCTCAACTTCATGTGAACTTATATTCCAACACTATCCTCGTAAAAGGCTGTGGATTGGGTAGCTGTTCATAGCAGAGAAAGCACTAATGTCCTTTGAATTGGATTTGAGTTTCCCCATTGAATCTGCTTGGTATTCTTGACAAGGATGGGCTGCCTCTGCACCACCTTCTATGTAGTCAAACATTTTTTGTTTTGTAGTTCTGTGTTTGTATATTGTGCTGTATTTGGGTTTCACAAATGCATCTCTTGTTTCTGGCCCAAAAAAAATAATATTAATAAAAGATTAGAAGCTTCACAGACTAAGTTCCAAATGCCTGCCCAAAAGAGAGTTAGAATAAAAAGACTAGTAGTAGGTGAATTACTTTAATTAATGTTTTTTTAAGCAAAATGAATTAATGGGAGTACAAAACTTTAATTAATGTTTGTAGGATTGAATTTGAATTATAAAAAAAAAAAAAATCAGAAGAATTTTTTATATTAATTCATTTATTATTATTCTAATTTTTGTTAATTTAATAATTGATATTGTCAATTACGTACCAGTGTTGTTATCACTAAGATGGAACAATTAAAAAAAAGAAAATCCTTTATCATAAATTTATTAAAATTTTCTTCATTATTTAGTGAGGACTCAATTGTAAATTTTTTATAAGTGAAACTTTTCTAACAAAATTTATTATAAGTGTATCGAGAATTTTTATAATATCTATAATATCAATTTATTTGCTATTATTAAAAAAATTAATATAGTATGAGCTATGAAATGACAAAAATATTCACAATAAGTTAATGACACATGAAAATTTGTTAATAGTAGCTTTTTTAGTACACAATAAAAAAATATTTTGGAAAGAACATGCATTTACAAGAACTCCAATATAAGAAAAACTATAGAAATTTTATAACTATTAAAACTTTAAGAAAATCAAAGATAAATCAAATATAGAAGAAAAAAAAATCACATCCTCCTTGCTAAAATATCACTCTACATTGGGAGTGCTATTTCATCTCTTTTTGCCATCCATTATGTTGTTTCTTCTCTCTCTTCATTTTGTGCATGGGAAGCTCTTGACCTTCCATAGTCATAGCTTTCATCTATTGGGTCTTGAATAATTGGGTCATTAAGATTTATAAAATCATGAAGGAAAACTCTACAAGGAGCAAGAGGCTAAAGCATGGCAAGTTTTACATAGAAAATCAACAAAACTTAAATCTTTTAAGAATTATATTAAAATGCAATAGGAGTACATGAAAAGAAGTTTCAAATCCTGAAATTTCTATCCGATAAAAGACACCAATAGTATTCACAAACAGAAAGAACTAAATGTTAAAACAATTGTAAAGATCATTGTGGCAGCAAAGACATCAAACAAACTCGTGAGGGATCAGATACCACCAATTAACCACGATTGCATTAGCTTCTTTACGAATCTGCATGTCTCAGACAACTTTTAGTAGAAGCAACTGCTTCCTATTCTTCTAACATCATATCATAATCAAACCAAAGAAGGAAATGAAGATGTTCACTAATGAAGGTGAAATCGATAAATGGCTAGCTCGCAACTACATTTGATAATAAAAATAATAAAGGAAATTTTTTTGTTAGACTGGCAACCAGGGGATCTATCACTATCATAGACCTGGGATGAATCCATGTTCTTCAAATTTTGGTAGAGTTTATGAGCTGACAAACGACTATATTTAATGGATAACAAGCTGCCAATTTTGGTCCAAAAGGCAAAGTTCACCAATAATGCAATAACCCAAGATATCAAGATAATGAAGACAATAAAAGCTAATTGCAAAATTTTTTCATGATTTTATAGCCAAACAATTCTACCCATCCAGACTCTCTATAATGTTTGAATATAGATGCATATATAAATGCAATAAAGTTCAATACCATCATCATTTTTAAAAGAGCATTTATATGCAAAATATACCAGGAAAAGCTATATCTAGAAAGACATCAAAACACCTGTTTAAGTAACTCCTTATGCCAATTATCAAGAGCATCAAACGACCTGGTCAAAGTTAGGCAAACCATCCACCATAACCTTCCAAACGTTAAGCAATAAAGCACATAGAATACCATTCAACATTTCAACTAGAAAACCCACTTGTAGAGTGACGGGCTGGTCATCAATCTGTATGTGATATGCTAACTCTAGTACCAATCTATAGCACAACCCACAAAAGCAACACAAAATTTCCCATTAATCCATTCTTCACATAAACTAGAAATAAACTACTGGTTTTAAAATTTCATCAAAACTCTGTAAAAGAAAGTAATTGGGACATATAGACAAAGTAAAACACCAAATGAAGTAATGTTATTGGCTTAGTCATTTCATCAAACACATTTAGGGTATTTAACGTAATATCAATCCAACAGATATCAGGCCAAGCAAGAACAGAGATCATGAATCATAAATCAAGGATGTGTTAAAGTAGTATGTTCCCTTGTGAGTGTAAAAAGTTAAGATCCCACAACGAAAAAATATAGAAGGAAAGAGTGGCTTATATATGTGAAGACCTATGGAACTTTTAGATTAATTTTTTTGTTCCAATGTGGTGTTGAAACATGTAATGAACCACTCAATGTTGTCTCACTAAATCATATGTCTCCCCAACAAATGATATTAGAACCAATGGCGTAACACAGTCACTAGTAATTTCAGTCTTGGGGCTTAGCAAAGTGAGAATATATGTTATGTTAACCCATGACGAGTATACCTATAGATGATATTGTGCTCATGATGAGTATACCCATGGACCATATACGTATCTTAAACCATGTCACGTATGTATGTCAAAAAAAAAAAAAAAAAAATGAACTCTCACGGGTCATTCACAATTCACAAGTAAAAAGGGGAGTATTGAAGTAGTATGTTTTTTTATGAGTGTAAAGAGTTAAAGATCCCATATCGAAAAAATATAGAAGGGAAAAATGGCTTATATATTTAAACACGCATGGAATTAATAAATTAATCGTTTGATTTTAATATGATATCGAAACATATAATAAACCACTCAATGTCTCCCCAACAGGATGCGAATCTACAAACTAAGAACTCAAACCTCAGTGATTGGAGAATGGGACCTTATTCGAGAATTGCAATTTATGAAAACCCATGACTGCCTGAGAATGAAGATTACGTCAAGATAAATGACGGTTCGAAAATGGAAACATGAGTGGTGTTTCGGTGCTACCATGAAACGTGAGAAGAATTTTTAGAAACAGAGCTCATCTCTGCCGGAGGAAAGAGGACAACGACCAAACACGGAGCCGCTTATCACTGTCAGCATTTTTGTTACCTGATTCCCCGCGTTTAGTTAGTTAAGATCCTTGAAGGATCCACGTGCTTCTAAGGAAAATGACTTCCGAAATTAATAGGGAATCAATTTCCGGAAATGATTAATGGTATTTTCCGTTGAGGGAAAATGCTTTCCATTGACTTATTTTCTGAAAGCTATCTGAACGTTAAAATATGTGAAAAATAATTTTTTAAAAATATTTTTCCGTGAATCGAACGGCACCCATAATTCGATTTAAACATTAATTATTGTAGGCAAAACGGTATTGTATAACATTTATTATTACGTTGAGATGAATTTTTTGATGTTAAAAGTTATTTTTATATAATAATATATATCATATAATT